GGCCACGGCCACGGCCACGGCCGAAGACTCTAAAGGAAGCCGACCTCTGGCCCAGGGTCCTCGGGAGGAGGTGCGCGCGACGCGGACTGGGAGCCCGGCCGCCGAGGAGCTCCGTCTGCCCAGCACCTCATTCGCGCTGACCGGGGACTCGGCTCACAATCAAGCCATGGTGCACTGGTCGGGGCACAACAGCAGCGTGAGTACCCCGGCGGGGTGAGGGCGCGCGCACAGAGTTGCCCCTAGGTCGGGGTGGAGAATGGGAGGTCTAGACTGGAGGAGGGGGGGAGATTTGTCCACTTCTCCCGTGCCCCAACAGGTTAGCAGAGTTTGTCATCATGATAGCGCGTGCGTGTGTGCGTGTGCGCGCGTGTTTCCTGGAGACCCTGGAACTGGGGCTGACCGGAGAGTGGAGAGGGCAGAGGCGCTGTCTATAGATGAGCTTCCCTGTTCCTGAGAGAGTCAGTTTCCCGTTTGGGGGTGTTAAATTCGTGCGTGAAGACACGCACTAATGTGGAGAAGGATCAACTGGACGAACGGACGGATCCCTGCACTACCCGGGCTCCGCGCCTCTGCACGAGACGAGGCCATGGGGACTCCTGCCCGCTGGGGCGCAGGATCGGCCAGCTGTCCAGGCCAGGAAGCGGCCCCAGAAGGCTTAGGTGGCAGCGGAAAAGTTTAGAGCGTGAAGGGAGTTCCGCGCCCCCTCTCTCCGCCCCGCTCGCCCCGCGTACACAAGCAAGCCTGTATCCCCGGCAGAGCCCAGTGGAGTCCGTCACTGTGCCGGCCACACGCTTCTGCACCTCTCTCCCGCTTCTACATGTCTGGGCGCGGCCAGACCGAGAGGTGGCGCCTCTGAGCCCACCCTGGAGGTTGGGGTGCTCAAACCTGAGCCCCGCCTGGCCTGCCAGCCGTCAGCTACAGGGCCACATCGCGTGTTCCAGGGCGGTCTCCACCGCAGGTGGAGGAAAGGCTGGGGGCCGGCTCCCGCCCTGCCTGGCTCACCTCCCAGGTCCTGGCCCAGGCATCCTTGCACACCCTTCCCTTCTTCCTGCCTCTGTTCCGCGGGGTCCAGGCGTGGGTACAGTAGAGCTCCAGGCAGAGTGTGATGGACGTCAGGAGCAGCTTGGAAAAGCCCATTTGGGGGGAAAGCTGCCCGGGTTGGTTGTTTTTACTCGTGGTGAACCGCTGTTGAAAAGGTTCCCTAGGATGTGTCCCTTGTTTTAGCAGAGCCCCGGTGCCCACGGTGTGCGTAGTGTATCTCATAAGCACCCCAGCAGTAGGTGAGTGCAGACACCCTGTTCTTGGTAATGTGCAGCGCAGTGGCCACCCAGGCTGTGTCGGATGCTGGGTTCCGGGGTGTGTACAGACCAGCTTGGCAGCTGCATTGCTGGACGACCCTGTGGAAGGCTCGGCAGGGCCAGGTGTCCAACTCCAAGGCCCCAGAGGATGTGTGTGGGCGTGTGGCTTCTTTGACGGAGGCTTATGAATCTGAACTTCATTTCACTTTGATAATTAGGGGTTGTGTGTGCTCAGTTTTCCACTAGGTGAGGAGGATGGATTATCTGCGAGGAGTAAATGCATCCCAGGAGGAGGAGGAGGAGAGGGGAGGAGGGGGTTAGGAGCTGTCTTCACACACCTGTGGCTTCCTTCCTGCCACACTGGGACAAGGCACATTTAGCTGGCTTGAGAGTTTTCCTTGGTCTGCTTTTATCATTCTCCAGTGTTGACAAAGCCCCTGGAGGTGGGACTTCAGAGAGAAAATGCTTCCCACAAAGAGCCCAGTGTGCAAGGCAGTTCAGCAGCAAAAGAAAGGGCCGTTTGCCCTGTGTCCCCGGAGGTGGCCCTCTGTGGGGGGCCTTCTGGCCTGGGCAGCAGGTGGGTTGGGCTTGGCAGCCTTGGTGATGGCTTCCAGGCCCGAGCCACTCACGAACATCCCCTCGGGTCCTTCGGCTGCTCCTGGCCGGTGTCACCACCCCAGCAAGTGCAGGGCAGTGGCCTGTCCCCCGCAGGCAGAGAGGGACTGCTCTGGAAGCTTCTCTTCTGACCACACCTGTTGGCCATGCCAGGGACAGGCGTGCTCACTCTCAGGTCTGGGAGGCCCTTTGAGGAAGAGGGGAGCTGCCCCAATGAAACTGTGTGACAGGGCCCTGGAGAGGTCCTGGGAGCCAGCCTCAGCAGGTTCCTTGTTTGGGTCTGCTCCCCTCCCCTTTCCGGACAGAAGGAAAAGAAGTGGAGGTGACTGGCAGGATGATGAAGTGTCAGGAAGGTCCTTTCAACCTGATTTCCAAGGGAGGAGAGCCACAGAGCAGAGAGCATGGCCCTCACCCTGCCCTTCTGAGTGGATTCTGTGCTCTGGCTTCCGAAGTGTTAATGTGTCTGTCTCCAGGAAGGCCCCAGATTCAGGATCAGCACCACTGGGCTTTGGTGCCTTGGAGTACTGGGGGTCCCTGCTTGGGTTGGTGTTTAGTTGTTCATGTCTCAGAATGGAGCTCTGCCCTGCAGAGGGTAAGGTCCAGGATGTGGCCTAGGAGAAGGGTCTTCACCTCCCCTGATGGGTCAGCCCGGGACTGGCACTTGTCCAAAGCTGGGCAGCTGTGTGCTTCAGCCCCGGGCTTGGGGTGGGAAGGCTTGAGGCAGAGGGCAGCAGCAGGAGGAGGGTCAGGCCCCTTCTGTCTGCCTGAGCACCACTTCCGGTTTCCCGGGTTGGAGGTGAGTAGACTTGGTATCGGAGCCTCTGCTCCAGAGGGTGATTTGCCATGGCTGTGCTCACCCCTGCCTGAGCTGGGATCCTGGTGATTAATGGGTTAGACAGCGTTTCACAAACACCCCGGGGAGCCCAGTCCCGGTGGCTTACAGGGAGACAGAAAAACACATTATTCTGTCGTCGGCTTCAGATGAAGAAGCCCCTTGCTTGCCCAGTGGCTTGGCAAATGGCTCTTGTGGGTGGAGAGCTGTGAAGACACAGCCCACGTCCTTGTGACCCCTCTTCCTCCATGAAGGCTTGGTGGGGCCCCTCCTTCCTGCACTGAGGCAGGAATGCCGTGCCCTCCCTCAGGGTGGCCCTGTCTTTTCTGGCAGCTCCTCAGGGCCCCGGTTTGCAGGCTGCTGCTCCTCAGTGTGCCTGCCAGGCCGTGCTTGGGTCAGGTGGGGTGCAGTGGGGAGACACAGGTACCACTGTTCCGGAGCTCAAAACAGAGCATGCAGATTCTGCAGCAGGGCTTCTGGCTTTCACTGGTACAGCTGGCCTGTGCTCTACAATGTTTACTCCTAATGTGCAAAGTAGTGACAGCTTTGACCAGATTAACTGTATTTCGCTCAGTAAAGCATCTAATTGGGGCTCCAAACAGATTTTTCCAGTAGCTTTTGGCTGGGTTGCCTCGCCTTTGCCGTCCCAGCGCCCAGGCTGCAGTCGCAATATCTTAATGCATTCTGCCTTCTTGGAGGCTTAGTGAAGAAGCCAGCCACAAGAGCTGTTCTTCAGGGCTTTGCCAAAAAAGCCTGTTTAATTAATATTACAGGAGAGCCACCTCAGTTGAGGTGCAGCTGGGAAGTGCGCTGGGACGCAGGAGCGCTAATTGCTCCTGGTGGCGGTGTGGGATGTGAGCAGAGGAGGGGCCGGGCAAGGCTGTGTCTGCTGTGCTTTCCTCTGACGCCTGCCCCGGGTTCCAGCCTCGGATTTGCGTCTCCAGTCTTGCAGTGGTTTATTTCCAGGGTGAGCAGAAGTTGCAGACTCTAATGGGAAGGCTTGATTCGAGGATCACAGAGATTCCATGTGGTTTGCAGGGAGGTGTGCTGGGAAGTGGCTTCTGGGTTGTGCTGGGTTTCAGGGAGAAGGCACAGGGCAGGAGGCTGCTTTGGGTGGCTGTTCCTGGAGCAGCTCTGGGACTGGGTGTCTCTGGGCCCCCAAGTGTCCAGTAGGAAACAGAGCCGTCCCACAAAGCCAGATGGGGATTAGGGGCTGACTGGGCCCTGGGGACCAATGAGCAGGTCACCCCGTGCTGACGCCTTGACCCACTTGTTGCTTTCTGGCTTTGTACCCTCCTTTGGCCCGCGGCCTGGCTTGAGATGCACCCTTTGAGGAAGAAGACGTCAGGAGTCTGGGACGGAGCTCTTGTGGAGACGGAGGTGGACAGTACACAGGCACGTCCCTAGCAAGACGGTGGGTGAGCAGCAGGGCTCTGTGTGGGGTGCAGATTTGCTCACCATGTCTACTGCCAAGTGTGTGCATGACTGGGTGAGGGCCTGGGTGGGCCCAGGATCTGCTGATGGTGCAGAGAAGGCCCTTGTCTCATTTAGTAGGTAAGTGAGTGATGGTCCCAGGTTTCATGGCTCAGGCTGCAAAAGAATCTGGAAGTTTTGCCTGGGATGTAGATGACTTCCTGACCCACAGCTGCAGAGTGCCTCACTTCCTGTTCCTTCCTTTTAGCTCGGGGGCCTTTGGCTTCGTGGATTCCAGCCCACAGGTCTTTGGCCTGGTATTTAAGGCCCTTCACTGTGTGCACACACGCACCCTGTGTCCATGCCTGGGCTTGGGGGGGGGATGCTGTGTCTTGTATGGTAGCACGAGCAGCCCCCTCTTGTTCCAAGCCCCTGATCTCCAGCTCTCCTTGTTTTAGGGTCCCTTTTTCCTCTGTTAGGATGTCCCCGGGGGTCATGGCTCAGTTGGACTCGCAGGCACCGGCTCTGTGAGGTCTTCGCTATGATCTTCCTGTTGTTTGTAGAGTTTACGTTTCATCATTTTGGCCTAGCACTTGATGACTTTACTCTTCTGTTATTGAGTGTTTTGAGGGGGAGATAAAATAATCTGATACCTTCCCTGGCTATTGGCTCTGCTCTTCTTCTGGGTGCCTTTTTGCCCAAACATGCGGTTTATGCACTTGTCTTGTTACCCCATGTGGACACTGATCTTCACCCCACTTAGAAAGAGGATGGAGGTAAGGACTGGTCACCAACACTGGCATCTTCTTGGGAACTTCAGCGGTCCGATGGACGCTCACAGGCTGTTCAGCCATTTGCCGAGAACTCCTGTATGTGGCTTTGTTCTGCACACTGAGGACTGGCAGGGTGTGAGGAGGGAGGCAGATGAGGATGACAGCGTTTGCCTCCAGGTCCTGCTCATACGCTGTGGATGTGAGATGGCTCTTCTGTGCTTGCGGCTAAGTAACACGACTGTGACTCCTGCCACGGCTGTTGTGG